CGCTGCTTTGCCGTGTGCGTTGCAGCTGAGCCGTCTTGAGCTCCTTGCCTTGTCACCAACAGTACAGCTCAGCTCAGCTCAGCTCAGCTCAGCTCAGCATTCCTTACCTTGCTCTCTTCTTTCAACTCGGTCGTCTGTCAGCCCCCCAACCCCCGCTCCTCGTCGCTTCTTTCTCCATCGCCACTCAGTCCATGTCGATGCCCTCACCGGCACCGCTGAACACATCGCCCCCACCAAGCGCGACGGCTCCCTCGACCCCTCAGCTTTCCTCGGTCAGTCTTTGAGCGGTGTCTCTGTTCTCGTCGGAAACAAGGACTTGCTTCAGAGCCTCGCCAAGCGATGGGCTGAGGAGGAGGATGCCGCCATGGCTAAGCGTGCCCCTTCGGTCAACGGCCGAGGTCAGCGACCCCGCCCTCGTAATGCTTCGGAGCACAACAACAACGGTCAATGCTCGGTTGGTAGAGCTCAGTGCTGTAGCCAGATCATCAACGACGAGGGCAAGAAGAAGACGCTTGCCGGCCTTCTCGGCTTCAACTCGATCGCTGGTGACATTGGTCTCAACTGCCAGCAAATCCCCATTCTTGGTATCTCGGCTCAGAGCATCTGTAAGGCGTCGCCAGTCTGCTGCACCAACGTTGTCCAAGATGGGCTTGTCAACATTGGATGTACTTCCATCCCAATCAACTAAGCTTTTCTCTTTGGTTCCGGCAATGGTTCTTTAGAGTTCTTCTTAGAGGTTTAGGTTTTCGGTTGTGCATCACATTCAATCTTTGGCATTTCACACTCGCATTGGCATCGTTGGTTCCCAGTATACTGTCGGCGACACGGGATGTCGTTCGATCGCCCTTACGTCGTAATCACCCACTCTTTTTTGTCTTGGTCATCGTCCTGTTTCAAAACACTCTTTTTGCGTACTACTCCACTCTCTTCTCTCCTCACTCACTAACAGCAGCAGCACTCGAACAATATTTACCGCTTTCCAATCGTTAGGTACCGTGCGACTTGGAGCGGTTCTAGCATCTCATTACCCTCACGGTCCATTTCATTCTAGCTTCTCTTTCCCCCGTCCTCTTCTCTCCCCTAGTTTCGATCGTTTCCCCCTAGCTTATGTGCTTCGTATTTTATGGCTTCGATCGGGCTCCGCCTCCTATTTGTGTTTACTAGCCACACAAACCAGTCGAGTTAGTCGTCTTATCATGCTCGCTTCCTTTAATACACCGGTCGTAGCGCTACTTTGAATTTGCTTGTGTTTGCCTGTGCTTTTTTTACAGTCCACACTGATCTGACGCTGAAACATTTGAATTATGAATGCGCTAGATACATGTCGTTAAAGTTGTACTCTTCCATGGAGCTTCGCGATGCTCGCATCAGTCTTGTCGCTATAGATGGGCAAATTTAGGGGTGATGAAGGTGTCGCTGAACTCGATGATGACCGGCGTTGAGAAGGGTCTTCGGTCTTTGCTTCTATCGCGCTTCGGAAATGGCGTCAATGTTCATGTTGATCAATCAGCATATGTCAGCGTAAGAGAAGGCTCTCGAGCGTGCTGAATGTCTTCCTAGCCTGTTTGATCGACGTTCTCTGTGGTCAGAAGGCATCCTTTGGGGGTGAGATAGGGTAAGAGTCAATGCTGAGATGAGCAACAGTCAAAGACGATGATGGGGATGGGAGCCTGCGACAGTTTGATTTGCAGCTGCCGCGATGAGGGTAGGAGAAATGATCGTGCTTTTATACCCGAATCAACTACATTGAGCTGTGGCTGGGCCGTAGAGCACGAATGGCGATCGTCGAAATGAACTCAGACGGGCGTATCATAATCGAACATGTGCGCTCTCGGGATGTGTTCGACTACGAGGTCGAGGCGCATATGCATGCTAGTGAATTGACCAGTCGTTCGAACATGCACATTATCCCACTCTGCAAAGAGACGTACATAACGCCAAGCAGCACGAATTGATCAAGTGTTTGCGAATCGTTCGTTGAGCTGCCCAAATATGAGGACTACTGTCGAGTGACTAGATCGCAGCATCTAACCTGAAGGCCTCTACTCTATCAAGAATGTGTTCGAAGCGATAGAGACAGAAAGAAGGCTCTAGCAGCTTTGTTCTGGAAAAGATGATGCCCACCTGCCCCACCTTCCATGTGAGACTTCATCCGGCGGTACCAATTAGGCTACCGCGTGGGTGAATTAGTCATGCTTTAGGAGTAATGTGGGTCGCAACAGACATGCTTCGCTAAGTGTTTCTTGCTGAGTTCTCCGGTTGCCCTTTCTTTCTAGCCATCAGGGTCTCTTGTGTTCAAATATAGGCTGATACCGCTGCTATTGCCGCGCCTCTCGTGTTCCGCTCGATCCCTTCCCATGTCGGATGCAAACCAACAGGCAGATTGGCTGGCCAGGCTATGCAACAACACTGCCTCTCCTACCCCTCGCACCAACGAAGACCTTGTTGCAGCCGGGATCCTGCTGCCATCTTACGACACCCACGATGTAAGCAACGCTCCAGAAAGTCGATCACTGATTCATGCACAGAAAGTATGCTGACATCGCCGACCGAATAACTGACAGGCCTTTGTGAACAATGTCGCTATTGTTGCCGCGACATTGTATTGCTGGGAATACATCATGTAAGTTCAACATGGCAGCAAGAAGATTGCTCAAAGCCAAGAAAGGGAACAATGTTTGCTCATCTCCATACTCCCTCTTCATGACGATGCCATGCGACGGACGCTTGGACTCGCGATGCTCAATTGGACGTGTTACAGGACCGTGCCATCCGAAATCCAAATCTACTTTTCAATACCTTGGACCGCCCCCCATCTCGTACTTTTCGTGCTGATGCGATACTCTACACTGATCGCCATCACTCTCGGCCTATATGCGACTTGGCATCGGCAGCACGGCAACTGTATCGCATACAGCGAGGTCGCTACACTACTAGTCCAGGTCTCGGTCTCAGCTGTGCTGGGTTGGCGTACGATTGCAATCTGGCAGAAGGATGCACGTATCATTGTTATCATCGGCCTCCTTCTCACCACACTCATGGTCTTTTCGTCCCTCCTCGTGCTCAGCATGAAGTCGGAAAGGCTACAAAACGGAGCATGCGTGCTCGTCGAAAACGGCAACTACGAATCCTTCCCACTCTATTGGTTCTATGCTGGTACGGTGTTCTACGATACGCTCGTCATCGTGCTGAGCACCTATCGCCTCTGGCAGCATCACAACGACGTCGGTGTCTTTCCCGGAGCCAACGTGGATGACACGAGCAAAGGCGGCATCGGGTGGGCGCGTTGGATGCATTCGCAATGGAACAGCATCACACCTCTCCTCTTTCGACTGACATCCAACGGCGTCTTGTACCTGGCCTTTTCGACCGGCTTCAACGTCGTTTGCTTCCTCATCGGCCATTGGAACGAAGCTCGGGCGCAAGATATGATGCTGCTGTGGTCGTCGGTCATGTGGGTCGTCTGCCAGCGTCTCGTCTTGCTGGAGATCAGGGCAACGTGGGGAGATAGACCTGGAGCTATCGGGCTGAGGTCCAAGGGTGTATCCAACAGCGAGACAGACGGATTGATCGTACAAATATTGCAATCGTCCTGGGCTTGCAAGGCTCCACTTCCGAACAACAACGGTCGACAAGTAGACACGTCAAAGGAAGAAAGAGATACAGAAATAGTACTAAGCCTGTCCGTGGACAGCGGTCTGAAAGCAGCACCAACGCAGTGTTGCGGAGGAGGAGCTCAACAGCATTCATCACAAACGCTTGGAAGAGTTCACACAAGGCAAACTTCAACTGGACAGCCATCTATCAGAAACACGGGTTTGGAAGAATCGACAGTCCAACAGCTTCACGACTTTCGACCTTGTATACCCGGGGATAGCTACGACGGATTTGGGTCCAGGTCAAACGTCAACTCTGAGCGCATAACCACTATGGACGGCGACTTGTCGACGAGTGCGTTGATCACTCAAACTAACGAGACATCGACCGAGGATAAGCGGAGCAGCGGTTTTCGAAATCGGCTCGGAGCGCTTCGCAATACAAACAGCTCTAACAAGCTTCTCGCCACCCTAACCAAGTCGTCGCGTGAAGAGGGCGTGAATGTCTCCATTGGTAGCTCAGAAGCTGCACCAACTTCTTCCACCTCGAACGCAATTGACCATCCTCTCATGGATCTACCTCATCCCACACCTACCGCTCCTCGGCAACAACAAGACTCGACCTCCTCTAAATTCTTGCGCATTTCACAAGCCTTCGACCGCAGCCCCAAGCTTAGTGCCACTGCACCTGATACCTCTGTTCGTCACTCGACAACGACTGAACGAAAGGCACAACGATGCAGCTGTGCAAGGCGTAATTTCACTACCGAAACGAACGCTGTGCCAAGACGAAAGGAGGAAGAGTTGCAGATGAAAAAGTCAGCTAGTGCAGGAGATGTGATATCAAGTTTGGAAATAGCACATATGTTGGCCAACATGTCGGATGATGCTAAGTCGACTGCTTTGGCTCTTGCAGGTATGGAAAATAGTTCTCCCTTGCCGTCCGGATCATCATTCACTTCTGCGATTCGAACTGAGACCGAGAGACCTAGATGGATCATTCATCCTCCGCTCATGTGATAGTTTTTCCACTCACTGCAACGAGTCGATCCACGTTGTTTTTTTTTGGCCGTGATGTTTGCATTTCATTGTCTCGAAGCATATTCTGCGGAACAGCTTTTGTGTATGATTAAACGCTCATGCCCCGAAGCAACAAGGTCCTTCACGGCTTGAACGAGACCTCTCAATGACTGCCCAGCATCACAATAATCATCCAACGGTCACCAGCGGAAAGACCAATAGCAAAGTCTCGCTGCAAGCCCGCCTGACTACGTGTAACTACAACCTTCGCCAACGACCATTTGCAAATGACACGACAGCAATGCGTATAACCGCATGAGCAGCACTAAGAAGAGGGGTGCAAAAATTAATAAATTACCACACATAATCAATATAAAAAATACGTTCCCTGCCGGGGAATCGAACCCCGATCTCAGCTGCTCGTGTTCTGAAAACCAGAGCTGTTGAAAAAGCCGTATCTTAACCGTTAGACGAACAAGGACTTATATGCAGATAATCCTTTTTATTAAGATTATATATAGCACACAGTTAGTCACTTATCCTGGCAGACAGCTTTGAACGCCCACTGACCGACATGCATCCAGCGTGTGGTTGACGCGCGAATTTCGCCTCGCAGATGGTCTCACGTCCAAGAGTGCATTACTCACGCGACCGGACTCTTGACCGTGATGCTCGGTGGCTCAACTGATAAAAAGAGTGCGACACTTAGCGATAGAAATCGGGAGATATCAGTCTCAGTACGGTGTTCAAGCTAAGGAGCAAAAACACTATACTAAATTGACATGGTAGAGGAACATGGTGAGAGCCTCGAGCTCTCTGCCTGGCAGATATACAAAAGTTGGCACGTTCCATATGTGGGAACATCACCCTCAACAACAGAGTGTGACAACTAGTGGGATCCAATAGCATCTAATCTCTTCTCCTGAGCCGTGTCTGCCCGAACCCCGATTCGATTGGATCTACCCGATCCCCGATTAGAATCGTTACGCCCGATCTCTTGGAGTCGTGCTGGATCGTGATTTTCAGCATCAACGTCTGTTGCCGAACACACGTCTTTAGATGAACCTTGCTGATGAAAAGATCGAGCAAGTCCATGTCTCTTGCTTACTTCAGGGTTCCTCCCTGCTGGATCCTAGGCTAATTGAAGGTCTCAACCACCTCAATATGAAGAACGTCAAGAACCGAACGAAACTACTGGAAAACTCCGTTGTCGTCGAAACGCTTTGCAAGCAGTTCTTGCTGCCTATCAAGCTGATTCTTCTTCACCAAGTTGTTTTTCGAAAGGTCTATTCTTATGCGGTCTGCGCTTCTATCTGCACCATCGCTCGACAGAGACACATCACACTCATACACTTCCTTTGATACACTTTGTTTGACACACTTTGTTTGCGTCAAGTGACGAACACACATTTCGCTTCGAAAAGCACGGCAGCAATCTTCTCACCTGCATCAACGGTCGCACTCTCACAGACGAATTCAGACATCATTGTAGGAAAGCAAGGTAGGACTCTTCGACTATGATATGCACAGGTCCTCGAAGAGGAGATAGAAACCAAATCGGGAAATCAACACGACTTTTCTTCCTTCAAAACGAACCAGCATGATATGAACCATGCCTCGCTAGCTCAGGCGGCTGACTAGCAATGGGTAAAGTTTTCTTTTTTGTTCTTGTTCTTGACATATGGGTTTGGTGTTTTTGTTACCACAGCAGAAGGTGTGATTCCTGCCGAGCATAAAGAGAAGGACGCAAAGCAAGCTTCGCGTTAACCATGCCTGGCAGCGAGAGCAAGGCAGACATGCGATTCGAGGAGAGGACGAGACGAGCGATTTCCGAAGTGGAGTCATGCAAAGAGGAGAGAGTCGAAGAACATGCCGAGATCTATAGTCGAACAGAGGGTGGCGTTTCCGCTGAAGCTGGAATACATCCGAAGGAGGTGGGAGCGAGCGAGCGACGGCGACCCTGCAGAGCTGTTCCGGCGATGGACGGAGGGATATATACGAGACACGAAGACCATCGCACGAGCAAAGAACAGCTTGCAGAGAAGGCGAGCAACACCGACACCTACGCGATCGGAATCAAAGCGACGCGTGGGTGGTTGACCGCCGCCAGAGAGATTTAGCCTCGAGCAGCAGCAACCTTTTCAAGAAGCTTGTCCTTGGGTGTTTTCAGGCCATCGCCCTCGATCTTGCCTGCCAACTCCTCAATCTTCTCCTGCGACACCTTGGCGCCCACCAGCAAGTCTGCGACGAATGTGTAGATGGCTGGGATGTCGATAGAAGCGTCGTCCAGGAACTCCATGTGCGGCTCGAAGCCCTTGACCGCCGTCTCCTCGTCGAGATGACCCTCTTCGCTGAGCTTGGCGAACAAGGCAGCGACGTTGGCGACATCGTCCTTCTTCTTCTCGATGGCAGAACCGACGATAGAGTCAACAAACTGCGATCGTCGTGATGCTGGCAAAGCGTTAAAGGCTTCGACACCCTCATTGACGTCCTTGATCTCGAGGAACTCCTTGATGTCGTTAGCGATCTTGCGCTTGGCCTCCTCATCCGACATCTCGGTGGATTTGTCTTCGTCCTCGCCCTCGCCTTCGCCTTCACCCTCACCCTCCTTGTCGTCGCCTGGCAGAGGCTTGGTACGGGGCTGAAGGTTGAGCTTAGGTCGCTGTGGCTCCTCAGCGGGTGCCGATTCGCCCTCACCAGCCTGGTTAAGCAAGGAGAACATGTTGGTCTGCGAGCTGGTGCGGGTAGGGGGCTGGCTGCCGTCCTCGGATCCCTTGCCTGGGTTCTTCCTGCCGAGCATAGTCGAGGGACCGAACGACAAAGGTCGCCCAGAGGTGCCGCGCTCGATCTTGCCAAAGTGCGAAAGATCACCAGCCTTGCTGGGACGCGGTGGAGGTGCAACACCACCAACGGTGCTCCAGCCATCAGGGCCATCACCACGAGCCTGGCCACGCTTGGAGCCACCACGGGAGATGGGACCGCCTCGTGCACGTGCGGCGTTCTCGGCGTCGCGCTGCTGCTGCTGCTTGGCAGCCTCGGCGTGAATCTGTGCAATGGTCTTGGGAGCAGTGTTGTCGTGTCGCGGAACCCACCCGGACTCTCGCAACTCGATGACATCGACGAGCATGAATCGCATACGCGAGTTGATGGTGGCCTCGTTCTTGGACATATTCCTCATGCGATCGAAGTAGACATCCATGTGTCCTCGTGCTTTCTCGATGTCGAGCAGCTTACCAACAGTGGTCATGAGCTTGCAGAGCGACTCAATCTCCTCCTCTTCGGGGTCGGTGGCGTTGGCGAGCAACTTCCTGATGCAGACATGCATAATACGGTCTGACAACATGCCGAGCTTGAACAGCTCACCAATGAATCGAACCAAACCAAGACCACGTCGCTTGGCCTTCTGAGCCTCGTAGTACTCGTCCGACAAAAGCTCGGCTTCCTTGGGAGCGTCTGATGGCTTCTCACCACGCTCCTCGGCAGCCTTGGTCTCGGCTTCGGCCTTGTCGTTGCTGTCCTTTTTAGCCTTGTCTTCAGCTTCCTTGGACTTGGCAGCAGCGATGGCAGTGTCGCGCTGAGCCCAACCACGCTCGAAGTCCTCCTGACATCGGTTGAGCAAGTACTTGCGGAACAGGATACCACCAACAACGGGCTTGTCATCGGAAGTGCGAAGGCTCTCGTCCTTGACCTCGGGACTGACCTGCTCCATGAGCTTGCAGCAAAGGCGAGCGTACATCTCGGACCAGGCAGCCTCGTCGGTAGCCTTTTCGAAGATGAGCTGAATGACTTGTCGCAATGTTCGGCCATCGTCTTCGGACACGGACTTGTTGGCCCATTCGAGGATCTGGTCGGATATCGAGTCGAACTTGTCCAGGGTGAGCTTGTTGAGCAGACCTTTGACCTTTCGCTGCACCATCTCGGGCGAGTCGGCTTTGACAGAGGCACCTCGGCTCCATCGGTTCTCCGAGTTGGCCAGAGGCACGACCTGGTCGAGAGGAATGGTGGGTCCTCCCTTCTCGGGAGGGTTGACTTGAGGACCACGGCTCGAGTTGGGATCACGTTGACGGCCGCGGTTGCTCTTGGTTCGGCCACCCTGAGGAATTCCGGTGCCCATCATGTCACGCGAAGGCAAAGTAGTGCTACCGCTGCCGGTTCGCGAGAGAGGCTGGGATCGTACTCCAGCGTTGAAGGAGCCCATGACACCGAATGCACCCATAGCGCCACCACGAGGACCCGAGGCAGCGGCGAAACGCTCCTCGCTGGTCTTGCCTGGATGGCTGAACGAGCCAATGCCGCCCTTGCCGCCGAAGCTGGAAGAGCCACTGATTCCCAGACCCTGAGCGCGGCCAGGAGCAGCAGGAGGGCCCATCGCTGAGGCACGTCGGTTGAGACGAGAGCTGGCGCCCGTGCCACCGCTCTCCATGCCGATGGAAGCCAATGGTGGCAGGTCGGCAGGCTTTTCGGTGTAGACATTCATGAATTGCAAGAGGAAGTCTCGGTCGTAACGGAACTTGCCTGGCTCGGCAGTCTCGTTGAGCTCAGACTTGGGCGAGCTGATGTTGTTGGGGTAGCTGACCTTGTTGAAGTTGTCGATGAACTTGGCCGAGGTCAATGAAGAGGAAGCGCCGGACGAAGAGCTCTCGGCCTTGTTGGCAGGAGCGTGCTGCGAGGCGGCAGCGCCTTGGGGTTCGCTAGAAGCGGCAGGAGTCTTTTTCTTCTTCTCGAGTGCTTCGCTGTCGAGCTTGATGCCGTTGGAAGCAGTGCCAATGGTGCTGAGAGGCTTGGCAGGAAGACCGGCGAAACCAGGTGTACCAGGCGTGCGGGGAGTCTGAGGAAGGCCAGGCGTCTTGGGAGCATCCTGGCTGGAAGGAGGCACCAAGGAAGCCTCACGAGCCATGCGCTCAACGTCGGCGACCGAGCTGCGCATACCAGCTGCGTCCTTGTCGCCATCCTGGTGGAGCGAAGCCTTCTCGGTGTCGATAGGAGCAGGCTTAGTCTTGCCCTCCTCAGCAGACGACTGGGTTTCAGCGGCGGTAGCAGCAGCGTCAGCCTTGGCCTTGGCCGCCTCTTCTGCCTCCTTGGCCTCTTCAGCCTTTTTGGCCTCTTCCGCCTTTTTGGCCTCTTCCACCTTTTTGGCCTCTTCCGCCTTTTTGGCCTCTTCCACCTTTTTGGCCTCTTCCGCCTTTTTGGCCTCTTCCGCCTTTTTGGCCTCTTCCGCCTTCTTGGCCTCTTCAGCCTTCTGCTGAGCTTGAGCTTGAGCCTTGGCCTTAGCCTCTGCCTCGGCTTCGGTCTTCTCCTTGTCTTGGCGTTGCTTCTTCTCAGCCTCGGCCTTCTCCTTGGCTTGAGCTTGAGCTTGTTCAGCAGCCTTGCGTTCGGCGGCGGCCTTCTCTTGAGCCTCGTTCTTGGCAGCTGCCTCTTGGTCAGCCTTCTCCTTAGCAGCAGCAGTATCCTTGTCGCTGTTCTGCTTTATTTCAGCATCAG